GCATAAATATATAAAAGCAGAAACATATAAAGTTTTCTAAAAAAAAAATTTTTTAAATGCCTAAATGTGTCTTTATGCAGCCAAGTTAAGGTTGTTATTTGCTTTGCGCAAAATTCACTGAAAAGAAATAATAAAAATCATGCAGATTAAAGGGGTCATATGATGCGATTTCAATTTTTCCTTTCTCTTTGGAGGGTTACAAGCTCTTGGTGCATAAAGAAGATCTGTAAAGTTGCAAAGACTAAAGTCTCAAATCCAAACAGATTTTCTTTATAAAAGTTAAGATTCAGCCACGCCTACCTAAAACGGCTCATTCTAACACGCCCCCACATATCTACATCACGATGTGGGAAGATTTGCATAACACCACCCAAATGTTCACGCAAAGAAAGAAGGCGTAACTTTTATTCTCGCTGTAGTATTGTTGTTGCCGCTGCCATGTTGTGAAGGCACTGTGTGTTTCATTGTTAAAGCACTGCTGTTCTGACTCACATACTGCAAGTACGTTTTTTATATTTAAAGAGTTTTTATATTTTATATTTTTTATATTTAAAGCGAGATTTTTGGGCAGTAGAGAGTAGGGGTTGTTGTTTGTTATTTCTCCAATCACAAATGCAGACATGGTTTTATGTTTACATGGCGCGATGCAACGCAACACGTAAAAAGACAGTATAAGTCATTATAATCCATAATTATGTCCCCACTGGATGCAACGAATGCCTCGTTTATAATGGGTTTTCATGTTTTTGAATCATCGCTCCGGCCTGACAGGGCATCATCACAGTATGGTAGGGGCGTAACATTTCCTTCACACGCTTGAGGTATTCGGCCAATCATAGCACTGGATAGCTGGCCAATCACAGCACACCTTGCTTTTCAGACCGATGAGCTTTGTAAAAATCGACACGTTTCAGAAAGGCGGGGCATAGAGGAGAAACAATGTACAGTATGTGGAAAATAATGTGTTTTTTTAACCTTAAACCGCATAAACACATTTCATTACACCAAATACACAAAATAATGTTCTTTTTAGCAACATCATATGACCCCTTTAAATTATGTCTGCTCTGACCCACCTTAGACCCTAGTAATCACAGTAAATGCATTTATGCCACCTCTGAGCAGCATTAAACAATGTGTAAAGACACTTAATTACCACTTCAGAAGTGCTGCTGTGCCACCGTTGCGGTGTAAATTTGGCATAAGCAAAGTTAGTTCTGAGAAAAGGTCTAGCATTAATTGCTTGCAAATGTCACTTGCTTTTATGTTATTTTAAATTTACAATTGTTTTGCTGTAAGTGCAGTTTATATGTCCAAATATTTTTAGGCCCACTGTGTATATATTAAGACAGAGAGAGTAAAGACAATGGATGTTTAGTTAATGGACAGTTTTAGGAACACATTATACTTTGAGTGTTCATATAGCTCAAACAGACAAGCATAATGCTAGAAATGCTAATGTCATGGGTTTGATTCCTAAAGAATGCACAAACTGATAAAACATATACAGTATAGGCCTACCATGAATGAAATGAAAGATGCTTTGGTATGATATGTAACTGCCAAATGTACAAACCCAAATAAAATCTTCTAGGGAAGTCTCAGCATAACCAGGGCTGTACAGTACGTGCTACGAAAAAACTGGTCTGTGCGATGAATAAATGTACCACTGTAGCAAGCGTGCGATACAGTTTTGCATGTTCATAACACAGCCGCTTAATAGTGTGAAGTGAGTTTGTTGTGCTCGTTTGTGTGTGTGAGATTGATTATACTTGGTCGTTGAGGGTGTGCGATATGACGATTTTTGATCGTGGACGATTAAAATGTCTCCACGATCTGCTTTTGAAGAAATATCATTGTTTCGTGCTACAGCGCACATTCTATCAGCTGCAGTTCTGGCGCCTCCCTCCGTCTCAATATAATGTACAAAGCCACATGCATTCACATTAGGGGTGGGCGATACCACTTATTTTGTTTTCGATACGATACCGATATTTTTCAAGCAGTATCATCGATATCGATATCGATACCGATTCGATACTTCTGAACTAAACTTTTAAATTATGAAATGTATTAAATTATTAAATTACTAAGAGTAAAATGGTTAATGATAAGCACTTAACTTTGTTTAAAACGCATTTTAACATTCAATACGCCTTAATTGTAACTTATTAGGTTATATTTTTGTTTATACATGGTTCAAATATGTTTTTTGTTTACACATGATTCAAATCTACTAATACTACAGTTGAACTATGGTCACTTTAGTAAAACCGTGGTTTGTTTTCATAAGGGACTGCCAGTGACCGGCTGTTGCATGCATAAAATGCAACCTTTTTATTCTGACAGTGTATGATTTCTATTAACATTACAGAATAGAACATTATCAATATTATCTTTCAATGTTCAATTTAAATATCTGTAATTGCACAAACTATGTAGGCTTCAATTTCAGTTTGTTTATTGTGAAATAAAGCTTTAATGCTGTCTTATGATACTTTTGGGAAACACAGCCCCGTTTGAATGCACTGTCAGCAGTGAGTGAACGCTCTCTGTGATTGATTGGTTCTGTCTTGCAACATTTGCGTGTCCAGATGAGCAGGAAAATAGTTCTATCCTACACAATTACTTGCTAACAAAGGTTATTCGTCCAATTCAATGCATATTGTACGGATTTTTTTGTTGTTACATTAACAAAATCCCTGGTAAATAAAACACACCTTAGTATCGATATTTTTTGTTTGAGTAACGATACTTTCGATACTCGCGTCAGTATCGATATATCGTTACTATGGATCGATACGCCCATCCCTAATTCACATCAGTGTTAGCTCAGCGGTAGTTACTCTCACGGAACACTGCAATTATGCGCAATCACAAAACTACATTATTTAATCAGCTTTAAAGCAATACCGGTTAAACATTTAATTCACGTGCTGTTCTGCATGCGCTTTTTCTGAGCGCATACTCATGAAGCGCCACTGAGAGCCTGTCAAAAAGCGCCTGATTATTGGACAAAGTTGTCTTTGGAGTCTGATTGATTTCATGTCTAATACTGTCAAAAACACACAAGGTTTACATATAAACACAGTTGGTTATGTCTAAAATGAAAGTAAAGAGTTATGAGAGAAGCTCTTAAAGGGACAGTAGCTACTAAACATGCTGCCGACTGTCATTAAAGGGATAGTTCACCCAAAAAATAAAATTTCTGTCATTATTTACACACTCACATTTTGTCCCAACCCTGTATTAATTTATTTCTTGTGCTGAACACAAAATAAGATATTTTGAAGAATGTGAGTAACCAAACAGTAGCTGGTCCACACTGACACTACAGTAGGAAAAAAATACCAGCAACTGCTTGGTTACCCACATTCTTCAAAAATAACTTTTATGTTCAACAGACGAAATAAACTAATTCAGGTTTAAAACAACTTGAGTAAATTATGGTATAAAAATGAAACACTATGACAGAATTGAAAGACAGATGACAGAATTTAAATTTTTGGTGAACTATTGTTTTAATGTTAATAAAACAACAAAACAGAAAAAAAATCACTCACTGCTCTTGACTGATGAACGTATCATCAGTCAGTATAATTGATGATATATAGGCTAGTGTATATAGTGTTTTATTTTAATATGTGTTCATTCAATTTCTTGAATGATACTGCTAAATACTGTACCCGAAAAATAAAGCACTGTTTGTTTTATTTGTATATTATGTGTATTTGTAATGTATATCTTTGTTCTTATTTTCTAATAACAAAGATACAATAATGACAACGATTTTTATCTTTGCTCACTTTGGCCTAAATGTCTGCCATTCTTTATTCTTTAATATTTTGTTAAGGTGTAAGAGGTGTTATGTTTCTGCACTCTTTTTAGCAAATTAAGAAAACTTTGTCTAAAAACAATTTTTGTGATGGTTTGAATTTTTTGTGCTCTGTATGGTACACCAGTGCCTGTTTAAGTGATGAACTCCATTTTATACTTGTGCTACAACTTTTTGGCCTGTGCTACAACACTTTCAACCTCTGTAGCACCAGTGCTAAGTGAAAAAATAAGTTAACGTACAGCCCTGATAACCCATAACTCATAAAATTAGTGACACTAAAAAGTACATTTTTCCCAGGAAGGTACATTGAGAACCATGGTGTGATTCATAACAATTGGTTCAACACAACCACTCAAGAGAAGAAACAATACTACATGACACAGTTTGTGGATGAATACTGGGATAATGGCACTCTACCCATTTGGATCACTGCTCAAAGACAGGTACATCTCAAAAAGCTTGACACAAAAGCTTTAGTACATCTCAAATAAGAATAAAAATACTATATCACATCCTAATATACATTTGCTTTAAACAAGATACAAACTGACTGAAATGTGTCCTTTCTTAGGGTAAAAAAACAGGATCCATGCACTTCCCTGGCACTGCTGCCACTTACCAGAAAGAAACAATCCAAGTGAAGGAGGTGGAACCCAAGTTTTATGACTACACCAATGAGACGGCATGGAAGGAGAAAGTGGACACAGTCATGAAGGAATGGTTTAAAGATCAAGACTTAGATTTTGTCACTTTGTATTTTGGTGACCCAGATTCTACCGGTCACAAGTACGGGCCTGATTCACCTGAGCGCCGCTGGGCAGTCAAGAAAGTTGACCGAACTGTGGGCTACATAAGGGAAACTGCTGAGAAACACGGACTCAGTGACCATCTGAATATTATCATCACAGCTGACCATGGCATGAGCACTGTCTTTAAAGGAGAGCATGTAAAAGAGATAATACTCACCGACATCCCAGGATTCTCCTTGAACGATCTGAAATTCCACATGGTGGACTATGGACCTTCTGGGCTGCTGTTGCCCAAAGAAGGGATGCTTGAAAAGGTGTATCAAGCCTTGAAAGGAGGTCATCCAAACCTTCACGTTTACAAGAAAGAGGACATGCCTGCTCGACTACATTACTCCAAACATCCACGCATCCTGCCCATCGTTCTCTTCGCAGACCCAGGATATGTCATCAATGGGGTGAGGATTCAGTAAACACCTATAATGGACATATACATGGAAAACTTTGTGCTATATGTGATCATTTCATATGTTCTAAATGCTCTTCCAGTTCTACACATTCCAGACCAATAAAGGGGAACATGGCTATGACAATGAGGTCATGGACATGAAGCCTTTCTTCAGGGCAGTAGGACCAGATTTCCACAGAAACTTGTTGGTTGGACCATTTGAGACAGTCAACGTTTACCCTCTAATGTGCCACTTACTGAGGATAAAGCCAGAAATCAATGACGGGTCACTGGATAACACTCGACACATGCTGATATCCAACGGAGAGTCATGCGATTCTGGAGGCGAATCTGGAGGTATCTAAATAAAAGTACAAATCTTACATATCTGACCAAATAATTCAAATATTTGTTATTTAATATCTTAGAGGTCCGAGATAAAAATTACTTTGATTATTTTGAGAGGTAAAAATATGATAATTAAATCATAGACAATACCAATAAACTGCTATATAATGTCAGACACAATCTCTGCTTTGCCCTTAACTATCTTGACAGTTAAAGACAACTTATCATGATAGTCATCAGATGTGGTATTTTGATAAGTTATCTTGATAAAACTTTAAGTAAATTACACCATTCAAACAAATAATACCATCAAAGAGTATCACTCTGTCAGCAAATGGATAAAAACCTGCAAGGAAAGTATTTTTTTACCCTGTCCTTCACCATATGATCCCATGAGCCAACACTATCTTATCACAAATTACATAAGTTACAGATCATCAATCAATCTTTTTTTTTTTCTTGTAGAGGTCCCCAAGTCAATTCTTCATAACGTGTTCGTTGGTCTTGCTGCTGTGGCTGGATTTTTATTGCTTGTGTTTATGGTTGTTACACCCTACAACATGTATAAAAGATGGAAAGTGAATATGAGGTACGACAGTTCCATTAAGATTTAATATTTATTTTCAGCACATTACCGATTAAAAAACTGATGTATTACTTTACCTTCACTCTCCAACAGAGCGAAAGTCATAGATGATGAGGATCAGATAAAAGCTGACTCCAAGCAAACATTGTTCTAAGAGGGACATTTACTTATTCTTGAATTGCTTGTCATTTAATACTACGATGGGATCCAAAAAATCTGAGACCACATTGAGACAACATTCAGAGCTTAAACCTGGACATGAAATAAATAAATAATAAAGTAAGTAAGTTTAAGAGAAAAAAATGTTTAAGTATTTTTTCATATTTTCATATTTAAGTATTCACGTCAAGGCATCTTGAGTACAAGTGTCATTAAACGAAAAGAGGAACAGACTGTACAGTACTAAGATATTTTTAAGTTCATGTACATTTTTCAATTAACCCTTCATTCATATTGTTATGCTGATGAAATGTAATTCAAATGTTCCATTAAATTAGAAATGCTGAAAATATTTGTCGTTTAAAAAATTTGTTTTAAAATAGAAATGCTTATGATTTGTAATAAAAAAAATTGTTTTAAATTGTTTTAAAGCAAACTGCTAAATAGAAGCATTTTGACTGTATTTTATACAGTATATATTGATGCCATCTAGTGGAAATAGTGAGTATTTTCAAACTCAAAACAATTGTGACAGTATGTAAACCAACTGCATCCAAGTAAATACTAACTGTTAATGATAACAATCACACATTATTTACTCAAGTCTTGAGACTTTCATGTCTTCCAATCCCCTTGCATGCAAACTCACCTTACAATAGGCTGCACAATACCAGTCGGTTCTATGGAAAAACACAAAGCAGAAAAGGAGCTTAGGAGGACTAAATGACTGACAGAAGTTATCATTACACAAAGCTGCAGATTCAATGATTTATGGTGAAATCCCAGTCCAGTCATGTGGAATTTTCCCAAAATAAGTTTAAGTAAATAGCTCATGACAAAGAGGCACTCAGAGCAGGCTGGTATGCATAAACAGTTTGAACAGTGTGCTGCAGTGTAGCCCCCTCCAAACACATTCACACATACATACACACACACACATACACACACTCAGTCACCCGCCAGAGCAGAGCCAGTCTGGAAATGTGGAGTCTCCCCCTGGCACGCGCACCAGACTCCCATCCATCTTCCAGTGCAATAACATTTCTCTGTCTCTCCGTCTCTGTCTATTGCTCTACTACGGTTGCAGGACACACAGTCTTCTCCTGTCTGCAGAGATCATCCTTTATGCTGTTGGATGCAGGGTGCTTTTAAAGCAACAGTCTTGAATGCAGAAATGTATCACATTACAGTCAATGAGATGTCTTTCAGAGGACATATTAAAGCTAAGCATATTAAAAGTTATTAAACTTTTTTAAATTAAACTCAGTTGACAACACTTGTGGCATAATGTTGAAATCCACAAAAATACATTTTGACGTCCTTCCTTTTCTTTAAAAAAAAGTAAACATCTGGGTTACAGTAGGGTGCTTACAATGGAAGTGAATGGGGCCAAATTTAAACTTACAATAATCACCACAAAGTGTAATCAATGTGCATTTTAGTATCCTTGTGGTGCTAGTATAGTTTATTAACATTAAGTTAGTATACTGTATTTTATTAATATTTTGAATTTTGTTTTGTTTTTTTGTTTTATTAGTTTTTTGTATTTTTTTATGTCTATATAGTTTTCATTCATTTTTATTTCAGTTTTAGATATTTTAGTACATCAAGTTAAACTACATGAAAATTAGAAATGTCGCCTTGGCAAAAAGCTGAAATAAAATATGTTTAAAGATTTTCTTTTATTTCAAGTAGCAATATTTTCTATGGTTTTAGTTTTAGTAAACTATAATAACCGTGACGCAAGTTTTTTTGTGTGATTTTAAATAATGTTGAAATCCACAAAAATACATTTTGACGTCCTTCCTTTTCTTTAAAAAAAAGTAAACATCTGGGTTACAGTAGGGTGCTTACAATGGAAGTGAATGGGGCCAAATTTAAACTTACAATAATCACCACAAAGTGTAATCAATGTGCATTTTAGTATCCTTGTGGTGCTAGTATAGTTTATTAACATTAAGTTAGTATACTGTATTTTATTAATATTTTGAATTTTGTTTTGTTTTTTTGTTTTATTAGTTTTTTGTATTTTTTTATGTCTATATAGTTTTCATTCATTTTTATTTCAGTTTTAGATATTTTAGTACAAGTTAAACTACATGAAAATTAGAAATGTCGCCTTGGCAAAAAGCTGAAATAAAATATGTTTAAAGATTTTCTTTTATTTCAAGTAGCAATATTTTCTATGGTTTTAGTTTTAGTAAACTATAATAACCGTGACGCAAGTTTTTTTGTGTGATTTTAGTGAGAAAAATCATGTAAATCGCTTACTAACCTTTTCTATAGTTATATGCAGTTACTGTATATGGAATGTTATATGCAATTTTACAGCTTAATCGACATGAAAATGAAACCATAAAATTGACTAGAACAACTTTTAGTTTTAATATAATTAATGTACGATCTTTTATAAAACTATAAGCTGCTCATTTCTGCTTTTAAAGCCTTCAAAAATTGGCCCAATGGCTTCCATTGTAAGCATCTTACCATTATATCATTAATTGCATTTTTAAAGAAATTAATTGAAATTTTGTGGTAATTAATATTATGCCACAAATGCTTTCAGTGGAGCTTATACTGAACATGAAATATTCCCTTTTGTCAATACACACATGTATCCTTTTAAACTTCACCCAGATTTGGATCTGTCAGTAACGACAGATAGGAGACAAGTGTTAACTGCTGTGCTTCCTCTTGAGACCTTGTTATGACTGTCGTTTTGGCCGATCATAGTGTAAACACTTGGGAATTTCTCTCTGAAGACCTACATAGCACTTTTATTCTATCACAACATGTCAGCTCCTAACCAGGCCACTCTAATATTCTCTGCTCTCATCCATATGAGCTGTGAGAGAGAGCACATGTCAAACAGCCACATTCTTCTGAGTGGATTTTCTCCTTCCCTCCGACTACGCGTATGTCTGCGACGCTCAGCACTCAGAAGCACGGTTGAGCCGGGAAACAAGCATGTTTACATCTGAGGCTTAACAAACGTGCTGAGCTGAAGGGAATGCAGAACTGAGTATCAAGAGGATCATGTGGACTATTTTTCCAGGGCTATTTCAAGTTCATAGTGTATTGCTTTTTTGAGCGCCACCATTATTCCTCTCAACGGGCAGAATATACCGAAATAGTCGTCTTATATTAATTTGAACAGTCATATAAATTGAAATTCAAATATGTGGTCTATCTAATAAAACCCTCAGTGGATGAGGTTTGAAACCATCTAAACTATTTCACAAGGACCGGCCAAGATGCACTGGTGGTCTTGGTCAAACGCCATGTCTTCCCGCGGCCTTGTCTTGCGGGGGCGGACAAGAACCGTGTCGCCTCGCACTCTGGTGAGACCTTATAGGGGCTTGCGATGACAGATTTACTCTGACAAGCTCTATGGTACGGCCGCCTGGCTCCGGACACCAGCACACCTCTCTGACATACCTGTCAATGAGGTGTCACTGCACAGAAAATGCGCCGTGCTTTCTTCTCCAACGCAGCTATGGAAACACTGACTCAACACCTCCATATCCTCACTCACACACTCGCTCGCTCCTATAGTTCAAGCAGTTCTGATGAGGCATTCCTTTGAGCTTAAACAAGGCGTTAATCCATGATAACTTCTCCTCGTGCCAGCATGTGGGTGCAGGTCTCTCCTCCAATGCTTGCCTCATGCTTTCATGCCTGCCAGGCTCAATAGCTCGAATGTAGCTGCAAGATTTAGGAGGTAATATCTATGTAAAGAGGGAAATGGTCTCAACAGTAAAGCCATAAATCTGTCATTCCCACTTTGATGGATAGACGCTTCAGAATCGTTTTCACAAAACGGCCGAACACAAAAGCTATGCCATTCGTCTGTGTCATATGTGGTTTGGTTTTATGTATTTGTGCGAGCAGTGAGGTGTACAATATGGCTCTAATACTTAAGATGGTTTTTGCAATGTAAAAACAAATGATGTCCTTCTATGTATGTAACATTATTACAGCTGGAAGAAGGTTTAATCAAAATCTGGTTATGGATTCTCACATATATTAACAGTCAAATCAGAGTACAATGAGTCATGTGCTAAATGGAGCCAAACCTCTCTGAGTGTGAATAAAGAACACATTAAACAACAGCCCAAAGGCCTATGACCACTTCACTTGACCACCATAAAACAAGCCAGATAAGCTGACTTAGTGTACAATGACAAACTTCTAAGGAATTGGAACATGAAGCTTACTATGAAGAGCTGCTTTAAACTCTAAAAAATCTTGGGTTGAGAAATTTGGGTCATTTTTTGGGTTATTTTTTTCAGTGTTTGGGTAGTTTTTGTGTTGCCAGCTCCTGGGTCAAATGTAACAACCCAATGTTTGGGTAGGTTTAGTGTTACCCAGCTCCTGGGTCAAATGTAACAACCCAATGTTTGGGAAGTTTTTGTGTTACTCAGATCCTGGGTCAGTCGTAACCCAGTGGTTGAGTTATTTGCGTAAGGGATTTTGTGTTCTCTTCAGGAAAGAGCAGTTCTAAGCGCCATCGAATTGATGCATTTCTTCGGTAAAATACAGATTTGTGTACATTTTATTTTATCTATAAAATCGTTACTGTGCCGTATATCGTTCAATTTTATGCAAAGCATCATACAGGCGCAGTGTGAATACCCTAAACAAGCATCGCATCTGTCTTTTCGCGTGATGAAAAAAGCCTGATGCTTTGCATAAAATAAATGATTTTATTTATAAAGATACAGAATATAAATACTTTTGATGCTAAAATATGTCCTCAGAGTGGTTTACTGTTTGTTTATGGGCAGGTTATGGAGGCAGTCGCAGCATATTTCGGCTAAGAGTGAAACGCAGGGTGGTGGTCTTAGCCGTTAACAGTTTCCCGCCGAACACGATTCCAGCTCGGGCATGAGAACCAGCGCCATTATGGTGGAAACAGAATAACAGAGACTGGTTTAATACACATTAATTACTTCTGTTTAATGTTTAATTTGTACTTATAATGTTTGTTAAACGAGTTTCAATATAGGCAATATATACCTATTAAAACTATAAACAATGCTGTAAATAAATAAAGGAAAATGAAGGAAGTTATCATGCAAACCAGTGGTTGTGTGGAGTATTTTACAAACGCTTAGAGCAGGGCTGCCCAAACTCGGTCCTTGAGGGCCAGTGTTCTGCAGAGTTTAGCTCCAACCCTAATCAAACACACCTGAACCAGCTAATCGACCTCTTATAGGCATACTAGAAACTTACCAGCAGGTGTGTTGAGGCAAGTTGGAGCAAAACTCTACAGGACACCGGCCCTCCAGGACCGAGTTTGGGCACCCCTGGCTTAGAGGATTTAAGTTAATCTGTAAACATAATATCAGAAGTAAAAAATAAGCTAGTATTATAGTAAAAATGAATCAACCCATTAGCTGGGTTAAGTAAACAACCCAATTTGCTGGGTAAAATTAATCCAACATTAGGGTGACCATACGTGCCATTTTCCCAGGACGCGTCCTGGCCAGGATTTCTATATTGCCTAAAATATCTAGGTTTTGGCTTTGTTTGCGTGTGTAGACCGATCGGTGTATGACATCAAAATACCATACAGACGGTTCCTTATGCTTTCAAAATGCTCGAGGTATTTTGATGTCATACACCGATCGGTCTGCACATTCAAACAAAGCCAAAACCTAGATATTTTAGGCAATATAGAAATCCTGGCCAGGACGCATCCTGGGAAAATGGCACGTATGGTCACCCTACCCAACATGTGTTCTGTCCAATATTTACCCAGCCCTTGGGTTAAAAACTACCCAAATTGGGTTGTTTTTAACCCAGTGTTTTTTAGAGTGTTCTGACTTACCTGGTCATGAAGGAGAGCTGATAGTAGACCAAGCGATCCGTTTCTATGACTTGCCATTAAACATAACTAGGCCACATTCATTCTACGTTATTTTTGTATATATTATATATAACACTTTATAATGTGTATATATACTGTATGCTCACATGTATACATAGACTGTTTATTTGTCTACACTACACTAATACTTTTGTAATTGTGTAACTTTTGTATTGAGTATGCCTACTTGTGGATTTTTAATCGATGCCGCAAGGGGCGTTTTGGCGGCAAATGTCTTTTCTCTTCCGGCTTACACGCGGAAGACATACGTATCAACAATTTGAAAATAATTTTGTCAAATAAATTACAGCAATATGGGGTGAAGACAAATAGGCTACTATGATGTCCCTATAGGCTCAATTCAGTGTTTCAGGCTGAATTAATCGGTCTTTATGGAAATGGAGCGTCAACAAAGTGCATACTTTCTTGTTAACATGGTGGTGTTGCATTTTTTTCTTCACTATATTAAAACATAGAGGTATAAATGTAATATAGGCTAATTAGCCCATCTATTGTGGGTGTGATGTGAAGGGTGCTGAAAGCCTCTCAGACAAATACCTCTGTTTCTAAGTTTGAGAAAGTCATACATTTTTAGCGATTCATACTAGCTAGATACAAAAATGGCACAGTTGTGCGGTGTCCGACATGTCTGTATTTACTTAATTAATCCGAGTTCTTATGTAGACCACTGGGGGGCGCGTCATGCTTGGCAGACAGACAGAGGATGCTAGAAATGTCTACATGCCTCATGGTACGATGGCATTGATCACTTCATAATAAATGATCACGACTGATCTAAAGCGATTCTGATGTGTCCTTCTGGAAGAGATATACATCTAGAAGAAAATGAATGCTGCTAAAAGAGGTTTGATAGAGTTTGATTAAATTTTGGTTGAAATATGTGACATGAAATCCACGAGCAAGTGCAGTTCTTCTACATGCCTCGTCTTAATGCTTTCATTAATATATTATACTAACTCTTCATGGTTATACTGATATTATACAAATATATTTATGTATTAGTGGATGAAGTCAGTACGTTCACTGAATAAGGGTCAGGCCTGAGTCAGACATGACAGCCTGACAGATTCTAAAACAATTAGATAAACTGTGCTACATGTTTGTTTTGTTTGGCGGTGAAACACAAGAAAAAGAATAAAAGATGAATTAATTTCGAAAATTGGATTAGCAATTCTCCTGCCGCCTCTATCCATCAACAACACCACTGGTTTACTTTGGAAAATGCAGCCGAGACATTTAATGGAAGTATTCTTTACGACTGTTCACATCTTCTGTTACACCTCTTCTCATGTTAAGAAAGGATGTGATCCATAACATTTCAGTCCTGAGCCTGTATTTGGAAATAAATAGTGGGGCTATCATTCAAAAGGAATTATAAACTTTGATTCCATTACATATACAGACACAAAAACATGCACTCACATGCTGTCTCACCCAACACACACACATACACAAAGCAATGCTCATGTGCAGAGGCACACGCGAGAGCGGCGCCACAGTCTGCTGGGTGCATTTATTATGGATCAGCTTTGCCAATACTTTCAACACCAGTCCAACCTCCTTCAAACAGCCACAGGCCGATACGTGATGGATCCCGCTTTTGCGTGGAGAATCAATGCTGGACAAATAGTTCCTACTTCGGCCCGTGTCAGTACCGCCATCAAAAACACCTCTCAATCCAACTCCTAAATTATGTGAGTAATTGATCTGGACAGCGAAAAGCTGAGATTTTGGGCCTTGGCTGTTCAGTTTGCCACAGACTTCCCTGGTGGCTCAGTTGTTGAGCTCTTGATGAGCTTCCATGATGTTAATTAGCTTGAGCACAAACAAAATACTGTTTCCATGCGGACTGAAGGTGATCTGTTCCACCTCATTACAAATTAAACCTCTATACATTCATCTAATCTAATGTCAGCAGCCGAGCATGACGACAGCACTGTGAAATTTCAAACGGAGGAACCTGATCTACACTTGAAAAAATTTAGAACGAAGCATACGGGTGGCAACTGCGTACACAGAGATTTGTCTTTCAGTAAAGGATTAAAATGTTTGTTCAAAGCGTTATGAATACAGAAGAAGAGATCCTTCCTCTGCTACGGGAACAAGCTCGTTCTTTACAATATAGACAGAGATGGGTGGAACGATGGCACAGAGCCCACATTGGCCTGGCGATTGGGGGAAAATTATAGGCCTACGCTGCCAATATCTTAAGGGGAAAAAAAGCAAGGAGGAACAAAAGGGAGATGAAGCTTGCTGTTTGATTAAACCTCAGTTGAGTCAAGTATTTGCCATCCCTCATGTTTGTGTAGTGTTTTGGAGGGGGAGAAATTATGAGAACTTGAGCTCAAACTGAAGGCTGTAGGGGTTTTAGGCATTTCTATCTGTCAACCTTGAGGTAAAATGCACAAGATAAGCTTTTAGATTCTTTTTTTTGGTAGGAAACCAGAATTCAAGGTTGCAAAACAAAAATTATATATATATATATATATATATATATAAAATAAAAAATAAAAATAAAGAAAAAAAAAACAATATAAAAAGTTTTTATAAAAAACTCTTTATAAAAATCATCAACATAAGCCTCAGGCTGATGTCTGTCACTACTCTGCTACAAGGAAATTCACTTAATTTTACAATCATTGTTTTTCTCTTTTAAAATCTCAATAGTACTATATTGTAGCCCATTCTCTGTGTGTCTTGGACATAATTAAAACACTGTTGTTAGGCACCTTTGAAAATGGCCAGGTGTTATCGGGGTATCTGAGTGTGCTCTTGAGGATGATTTCACTGAGAAAAAGGTCAGCGTGACCTCAAGTTCATACCAGAGATCATAGCGATGGGGTCAGGGGGATGATTGCATGTCAGATGTTGGAAGATCATAGCTATATTTGCAGACGTGCAGGCTCAAACTGACTTTGAAGTGTAAGAGAGTTGGTACCAGATATGATTAAAGTACATCTCCTTATTAATGAAAGGGGAACATCAATGCGCAATCATCTGGACCGCAAATTGATCCAAATCCAAAAAGATTAAAATGCATGCAGTTGAATTTTTTCATCGATTTTTATAAAGAGTTTTTTATAAAAACTTTTTATATTGTTTTTTTTATTCAAGGTTGCAAAACAAAAATTATATATATATATATATATATATATATATATATATATATAAAAAATAAAAAATAAAAATAAAGAAAAAAAAAACAATATAAAAAGTTTTTATAAAAAACTCTTTATAAAAATCGATGAAAAAATTCAACTGCATGCATTTTAATCTTTTTGGATTTGGATCAATTTGCGGTCCAGATGATTGCGCATTGATGTTCCCCTTTCATTAATAAGGAGATGTACTTTAATCATATCTGGTACCAACTCTCTTACACTTCAAAGTCAGTTTGAGCCTGCACGTCTGCAAATATAGCTCTGATCTTCCAACATCTGACATGCAATCATCCCCCTGACCCCATCGCTATGATCTCTGGTATGAACTTGAGGTCACGCTGACCTTTTTCTCAGTGAAATCATCCTCAAGAGCACACTCAGATACCCCGATAACACCTGGCCATTTTCAAAGGTGCCTAACAACAGTGTTTTAATTATGTCCAAGACACACAGAGAATGGGCTACAATATAGTACTATTGAGATTTTAAAAGAGAAAAACAATGATTGTAAAATTAAGTGAATTTCCTTGTAGCAGAGTAGTGACAGACATCAGCCTGAGGCTTATGTTGATACATGTCTCTCCCTGACATCCTTTGCATAACTGTAAATGTAAGCTATAATAAAGAAAGAGTTTTACCACATGTTGTTTTTGAATGTCACCCTCCCATAACATATGAGAAATGTTGACAAGTCAAGGCTGTAGTGACACATTTCACTGCCAGAGTTGAAAACAACATAATTTCTCAATTCTACAGATATCTTTTCACAGTTGGAGGCTCATTTGGTCCAGCTTTAAAAGTAGAAATGAAAATATGTCTAATATAGAAAACAAACAAAAAGCTGATGAATCTTTACAGCATAGGCTACAAAAACAAATATATATACATATATATGTATATATTATACAGTGGGATCCAAAAGCCTGAGACTAATACTGAGAATGTTTCATATTTAATATTTAATGTATATGATATCCAGCATGATTTGAGAATGTTCCAAAGAACATCAGGTGTGCTTCAATAGAAGATATGAAATATACAGTACACTGTATATACACTGAACAAAATTATAAATGCAACACTTTTGTTTTTGCCCCCATTTTTCATGAGCAGAACTCAAAGATCTAAGACTTTTTTTATGTACACAAAAGGCCTATTTCTCTCAAATATTGTTCACAAATCTGTGTTAGTGAGCACTTATCCTTTGCTGAGATAAGTGAAAGTGACGTGGCCAAGTATGGTGACACATACTCAGAATTAGTGCTCTGCATTTATCCCATCCAAAGTGCACACATACAGCAGTGAACACACACACACACCCGGAGCAGTGGGCAGCCATTTTTTGCTGTGGCACCCGGGGAGCAGTTGGGGGTTCGGTGCCTTGCTTAAGGGCACCTCAGTCGTGGTATTGAAGGTGGGAGAGAGCGCTCTCCACCTACAATCCCTGCCGGTACGAGACTCGAACCCGCAGCCTTTGGGTTATGAGTCCGACTCTCTAACCATTAGGCCACGACTTCCCCCGTCATGGGGGGGTAATCCATAGAGAGAGAGAGAGAGAGAGACAGCGTCACATCACAGTAGAGTCAGCTGTCTTAACCGCAGCTTGTGTACTTTATCATTACTGTGTCTGTTTCCCTTTCGGGCTTGAACTGATGGTAAAACTAATGACATTATTTACTGTCTTTACATTTATTTTGAAAGATGAAGCTCGCGATTATGGTAAGGGGAGTTACATTTCCGACGAGTGCTTGCGGTGTTCGGCCAATCACAATGCACTGGGTCAGCTTGCCAATCAGAGCAGACTGCGCTTGTCGGAAGGAGGGACTTTGTAGAAAACGAAGCGTTTGAGAGAGGCGGGGCATAGAGGACCTACAATAATGTACAGTATTTTAAAAATAATGTGTTTTTTGAACATTAAAGCAT